CTATCATTTCCTAAGCATTTGGACTCCTTTTCAGGCAATCATTGCCTATAACTACATCTTGAGGTGCTTTCTCTATCTTTCTCCACCACTATCAGAGTCTCGGATCACATGACTATATCTGACCCATGTGAATGGATTTTTATGCATGTTAGGAGTAGGGATCTAGCTTTACCCCTCTAAATGCCTTTTTTCTTTCTTGATTGCTCTGGCTATGAGGTAGTTTGTTGAGTAAAAGTGGACACCGTTACCTTATTCCTGATTTTAGAGAAACAGCTTGAGATTTTTTCTCATTTAGTTTAAGCTAGGCAGTGGGTTTGTTGTACATAATTTTATTTTATTGGGTCTTTTCTTTTGTACATAGCCTTTATTATGTTCCTTCGATTTCTAGTTTCCTCAGAGATTTTATCACAAAGGTGCTTGCACTGAGATGATCATGTGATCTCTGTACCTGATTCTCTCAATTTGTTGCATTATATTTATTGATTTGCATGTGTGGAACCATTGCTGGAATAAGACTAGCTTGATTATGATGAATACTCTTTTTAATGTGTTGTTAAATTTGATTAGCAGTTATTTTATTGAGAATCGTTGTGTCTATTGTTTTCTTTTTTGTTGTGTCTATTGTTTTCTTGCCTGGTTTTGGTGTTGGGGTAATACTGGTATCATGTAACAAATCTCGTATGCCTCCTTCTCTCTTTACATTTTTGGACTATGTTGAGAGAAGCATTGTTGTTAGCTTTTCTTCAAAGGACTAATAGAATTTAACAACGAATCTACCCACTTCTGGGCTTTTCTTTGTTGGGAGACTCCTTCTGTCTTGGAGCTTTTTCTAGATCTGCTTAAGTTGTTTATGTTCTTGATATAATTTTGTAGGGTCATATTTGTCTCTTTTTTTCTACGTTTTTCAGCTTTGTAGAATATATGTTTTTAAACTATGCCTTAATGATCTGGATTTCATTAGTATATGCTATGATATCCACTTTTTCATCTCTTATTTTATTTATTTCAGATATTCTCTCCCTTTTTGTGATTAGTTTGGTTAAAAACTTATCAATCTTGTCTTTTCTAAGGGCCAACTCTTGGTTTCACTTATTCTTTGTACTGTTCTTAGTCTTCATGTCATTAGTTTCTGCCTGGGTCCTAGGATTTCTTTCCATCTACTGCTTTTGGGGTTGACTATTTCCTGTTTTCTAAGACCTTGAGTTGGATGGGGAAGTTATTCCCTTGGTCTCTTTCTCTGTTATATGTATGCGTAGTATGTCAATATGTGTGCACACACATGTGGGGGTTTATGTGCAGAGGCCAGATGTCAGCACTGGGTGTCTTTTTCTGTTGCTCTTCATCTTATTTTTTTCTGAGACTGGTTTCTCTCAATGATTTCATTGTATTGGCTAGACTGAATGGCCCTCAAACTGAGCAGGCTATGCCTGACTCTACCTCCTTAGCACAGGGCTTACAGATGAGCACTTCTGCATCCAGGTTTTATGTGTATGCTGGGACATCTGAACTTAGATCCTCAAGCTTGAAAGCAAACACTTTACCCACTAAATCATATTCCCAGTACTTTTTTTTTCCATTTTTTAATATAACCATTGTGGTGGTTTGAAAGAAAATGGCCCCCAAAGGGAATGGCACTATTAGGAGGTGTGGCCTTATTGGAGGAAGTGTGTCACTGTGGGGGTGGGCTTTGAGATTTCATGTGCTCAGGATACTGCCCAGTGAGTCAGTCGACTTCTTGTTGCCTCTGAGTCAACTCCAGCACCATGTTTGCTCCCTGCCATGATGGTGGTCTGGAATTGATTGACATGGTGTTTCAGATTCCACATTACAACTTCCATTTAAGATAATATGGCTTGTCTAGTTTGGGTGTAATATAAAGAATAATGCTCAAAAATCACATAAAAGTTGTCCCGCGCTACCGTCTCGCCAGCAAGAACGACGCGGCACACTTAGGATCCTTCTGCAGAACAGCTTTAATGCGTCTTGAGAGGGAGAGCATAAGCTTACAGAGCGGAGACCCGGGGAGCGAAAAGCCCAACCCTTATATAGCTCAGCAGTCCCCGCCTCGGACGTGTCATCTCCTGACTGGCTCCTGCTCGTCAGCCCATATGACGCCACGGGAGAGGCAGAGAGTAAGGGATAGAAAAGTAGCAGGCACATGCGCACCAAGGTTGTTTACTCCAACTGACAACGGGTGTCAGCGCCATCTTGTAACGGAAAATGTGGGGGCGGCTCCCCACAAAAAGTTATTAAATTACTCTTTCCTTTCTCACCTATAGATGAGGTCTTTTTTATTTCTCTACCAACTCAAACCATATATTAGAACAGACTGACTACTGAAGCATTTATGACTGTCCACAAAGATCCTGTACTAAGCCATATGTTAAGTAGATTTGTAAATGAATAAAACAGAGGATACTTTCATAACTTTCTAAATTTTTATTTGAACATATAATTATCTTTTGTGGCATTATTGTTGATGTTAACATACAATAAAAAGATTCATTATTATGATTTAAAAATAAAACATTAAATTCCCAGGTAATAGGATGGACCTAGCAAAAACTCATGAGTGAGGTAACTCAGACCCAGAAAGCAAATTGTTGTATGTTCATTGATCCGTGGGTATTAGCTGTTAAGTCATTGATAAGCAAGTTACAACCCATATGACCGCAGAGGCTAGGCAGAGAGTGAGAGACCAGGTCAGGGGTTAGAGATGGGTCTTCCTCAAAAGGGGAAGCAAGATAATTATAACTGGACTAGGAGGATCAAACAAGGATGGGAAGAGATGTGGGAGGTAAGGGAGGGAACACAGGAAGAGACAGATAAATCTAAGGACCATTTGAGGTATCATATGGAAACCCAATATAGTAGAAACTTCCTAAAATACATACATGTATGGAAGTGATTTAAATGAAAGCACCAAATAATGGAGGAAACAGCCCTAACTAGACATCTCCTGTCACCAAACGAAGCTTCCAGTTCCAGGGATGGGTTACATCTATTCAAGTTGTAGGCCAAAGGAGTCTCATAGGAACCCCCCAAACAACTCAGGCTATTGCCAAAGCTATTGGTGGTTATCCACAAATGGATGGTAAGGACCTATTGCTGAGAACAACACCGACACAACCATTGAACACTGAGAAGTTGAGCTGGTGCCTACCTAAAGCCTTCACTCCTACAGACTGGTGTTCATGGTACTTGAAGGCACACTGCATGTTATAAAAGGAGAGAGGTAAACACCAACCCAACTATAAAACTCTCAGTCTATAAAAGTGACCTGCCTGCAAGTTACACTAGTGTAATAGTGGGAGTAACCAACTGCTGTAGGTGGTATTAAGGAAGTCCATGAGATCCTGAATAAAAGGCTATCAAATATTTATTGGAGGACACCTGCTGGAAGCTGTGATCAGATTTCCCACCACCACACAAGAGACCTCAAGACAGCTCCTTTATTACTTTTAAAGGAGTTACATCAGCAAACAAGAAGCTCCACTTCTAATGGGCTATATAACCCAAGGTCATGGGTGGGGCAAATACCTACTACAAACCACTCTCTGATTGGACCTAAGGGTCACTCTAAGAGATGAAATCCATCCCTGACACTGCTTGGGTGGCCTAGGACCTGAGACTAAATAGGCTAGGGACCTAGTAGTGAAAACCCAAAACTACTGTAGTAATAAAATAACTCCTAATGACTCACACATTCATGCCTTGGTCAGCAATCATCAGAGAAGCTTCCTCCTGCAGCAGATGTGAACAGATACATAGACCCATAGCTAGACAATGTGCAGAGAGTGAGAGACCTTGGAATACTGGTCCCCCAAAGGAATATCTCCGTTGAATTCCTCTCCTTTTGCTCAGGGGACTCTTCAGAAGAGGGGGAAAAAAGATTCACGACCTTCTTGACACAACAGGACCAGAGCAGTATGAACTGACAAAGACTGTGGCAGCTTATCCAGAGTCTGCACAGGTCTGCACCACTGCGGGAGTGGGGGGGCGGGGGTGTCCTGGAGCTGAAAGGAAAAGTGGGATGCTCCCATTCCTCACCCAGAAGCTGTATCCAGTTGACAATCACTTGCAAATGAAAACTTGGTTTCCCCCAAGGGAGTCTCACTGGGGAAACAAGCCACTCTTAAGGGCAAGCCCCATGCCCAGCAGTAGATGGGCAACACACAATGAGCTGGGAGAATGAGATTGGCATCTCAACTCTAACACCGTTATCCAGTTAAGCTTTTTAAACTTTTTCTGTGAATGACAAGGAAAACAGACTGAAATCCCTTGTGTATGGCCATTCATGGTCTGTACCAAGACCCTTTGAAGCTCAAAAAGAAAGGGTACTCCAACTCTGATCATTATGGATGTTTTTGATACCTAAATATGGAGCCTCAGGGACAGTCTAACTTGACTGGAGGAATCACTAAGATTGGTGCCAGGTACCATTATGGATCCCTTTAGTCCAAAGCATCCAGTGTTGCATCCTTGGTCAGATGTCTATGAGCCTTTTTTTGGGATCAGACCCTCCCCAAAAGTTTGGTCAGTGATCCATGAGTTTAATTTGAACTGGTCATTAAATTCTATTTGTTTGGATATTCCTTTTGGTTCTAGAACATTCTGTTTATTTTTTCTTCTTAGAATGTTTGGGCTGTTAATTTGTTAACATTTGACTGTTCCTCTTATACCTCTCCAATATCTAACTCAAGGAAGGAGACAGTGTTTTTTTTATACCTATTTCATTGACCAGCTGGCCTTATGGTTAATAATAATTATGATAACCCAACTTTCAAATATTGGAAGTATTGAAAAGACAATCTAACTAAACATAACTAGGTTTTGTGCTTTCCTAAATGACGAACCTCCATAAATGTGTTTCTGTGTACTAAACAGAATACATGCAATAAAATAAAAGATTGTGTAGTTGTTTCTATGTGGGACAAAGCTCAACCTATCCCTGAAATTCCTAAACTATAACTAGTAAAATTTGTGTCCACTTCATAAAATTACTGGGTTTTTTTGGCATGTTTATTTAAAATTCGTGTATGCATATACATAAATGTAAATATTTGGGATATTCTCTGTGGATTGCGGATGATTCTATGAAAGACAGGTTTTGAAGATCCTTATCTTCATCGAGTCTTGACAAAATACAACTGTAAAAATCTGTAACAAAGGGAAAACTGTTATTAAAACTCCAACTTAAGCATTTAAATGCAGGCAAAGACACCCTAAGTTTTAGAGATGATTCTAATGTATTTTATTATATCATAATTATAATTCCTCTTTTATAATACATTTTGGGTGATTATTCCTCTCTGTGCTTTTAGTGTTTTTAAAGGAAAAGGAAATGCTTTCAAATGAGTGTTGTAGAATGACATCCTTCAGGCATAATATTTGTCATCTTCATCAGAACAGCTGTGACTATTTGCAAGAGACCCATGAGATCAGGCCTGTTGATAGCTGATGCTCTCTTGTAGAAGGATGTCTTCCTACCAGCTTGGTCGCAGAGCCGCGTCAGTCCCAAATAACACATGCAACACTATATTAATTATGAAGCTGTTGGCCATTTGCTTGGTTTCTTACTGGCTAGCTCTGACTTAAGTATTTAACCCATAATTGCTAATTTGAGTATTTCCATGTGGCTTTCTCTTACTGCAGGAAGTGTCCAGGCATGTTACTTCTCCCGCGTCCTACCTCGTGACTCACTGTGCTTCCTTATCCCAGAGTCCTCCTCAACTCCTAGTCCCACCTATCTTGCTTCCCTATTGGCCAACAGTGCTTTATTCAACAACGTCCAATGAGACAACATATACACAGAATGACATCCCACATCAGAGATGGTTACAAAGGGTCATTGGGTCCTTGCCTGAGGATCCTATATTTCTTCATCATTTATATGTGATTGTTCTCTAACTTCTCACTAGGAGATGCTAGAGTACATAAAAGATAGATGGTTAATGGATGTAGAGACTTCATCTATGAAGTTATCAAGAAGTCACTATCCACAATGAGGTGAGATATTTCTGGTGGTATAGCTGCTTTGATGTAATCCGTGCTCCTGAAGCAAAATAAACTCATAGGCTTCCCCAAGTTTAACTTTATCTATCCACTATCCTTGCTCCTTTCAATATATTTTTTAAGCACTAGCAATAAGATGAGAGACAGAAATTAAAGGGATACAAATAAGAAAAGAAAAAAATCAAACTATCCATATTTGCAAATGACATGATATTATACATAAGAGATACCAAAAATCCATCCAGAAAACTTCTAGGCACTATCAACAATTTTATTAAAGTGCCAGGACACATAATCATCTTAGAAAAAAATCATTGCTTTTCTGTACACCAACAACAAGCATAATGGGAAAGTTAAGAGACACACTTCCATTAACAAATAGCATCAAAGAAAGTAAAATATCTAGGGATAAACCTAACTAAGGCTATGAAAGATATCTACAACGAAAACTTCCAATCTCTGAAATAGATTCAGGAAGAATGGAAAGATATACAATGTGCAAGGACTTTGTATAGACAGATAGAATTGACATTGTGAAAATGACCATTACACCAGGAGCTATTTACAGATTCATTGCACTCCTAATCAATACTCCCACCTCACTCTTTACAGAAATAGGGGAGAAAATTACCAAAATTCATTTGGAACCCCAAAAGACCCTGAGTAGCCAAAGCAATTCTGTGAAACAAAAGTAGCAATGCAAGAGAGGTTATCATTCCATATCTCAAGATATATTATTATATAGAAAAGTATATATTATTATATAGAAAAGTATAGCTAAAAACAAAAACAGGGATATGGACACAAAAGCAGACATGTCAACTAATGGAACAAAATCAAAGTTCTAGACACAAGTACATATAACTATAGCCACTTAATATTTGGAAAAGAAAACTGGCTGTCCATAAGCAGAAGAATGAAATTAGACACATAGATCAAAGACCTAAGCCTGAAACCTGAAACACTGAAATTCCTAGAAGAAAACATAGGCAGTGTCTTAGTCACTGTTCTATTGCTGTGAAGAGGCACCATGAGTGCAGAAACTCTTATAAAAGAAAGCATTTAACTGGGTCTTGCTTACAGTTTCAGAGGTTTAGTCCATTATCATGGTGGGAAGCATGGTAGCACATAGCAGACATGGTACTGGACAAGTAATTGAGAGGTCTACATCCGAATCTACAGGTATCAGGAAGAGAGAGAACTACTGGGCCTGGCTTGGGCTTGTGAAACCCCAAAGCCCACCCCCAGTGACACACTTCCTCTAACAAGGCCACACCTACTCCAACAAGGCTACATCTACCTACTCTAACAAGGCCACATCCCCGTCCCTCTCAAGTAGTGCCACTACCTAATGACTAGGCATTCAAATATATGAGTCGGTGGGGTTCATTCTTATTCAAACCACCACAGGCAGTATCCTACATGGTGTCTTATCACAGCAATAGAAAAGCAACTAAGACTTTGTCAGGGTTGCCAAAAGTAATCAAAACTATAAACCATGATTTAGATGCGAAATAAATGCATTTTAGTGAAAATATTCATTAAAAATTTAGATTTCTAATTTATCATTTTAGAAAGGATTATTCTTTTTTATGTATAAATTTATTAGAAAAAATATTGATCCTGTAAGAAGATTACTTCACAAACACCTGTTTGCTATCAGTGGGATTCCAGGTTCTTGGTGACTTTATCAAAGAATTGAGACAGTCCGGACAGTTGATAGGGAAAGACTCTATTTAGAAGTCAAAGATGGCTGGGTGGTGATGGCGGTGCATGCATTTAATCCCAGTACTTAGGAGGCAGAGGCAGGTGCATTTGAAACCAGCCTGGTCTGCAGAATGAGTTACAGGACAGCCAAGGCTACACAGAGAAATCTCGTCTCAAAAAACAAAAAACAAAAAACAAAAACAAAAAGCGGTGGGGGAGTCAAAGATGAAGAATTGTGTTACAAGCAGAGGACTGGACAGGATAGTTCCCCATTATGCAGTACATTTTCTTTGGTTTGAGTTTAGGCAAGGGTCCTGGGTGTGGGGATGGAGGGGTGGAGGGGTGGGGAGTGGAGGGGTGATTTCTAGAGGTGGGAACTGGGCGACCCTTATTGTGACTGACCTTTGGGTTGTTGTATAACTTTGGGAATCTGTGACTATGTAGGTATCAGATCATTTCAATCATAGTGCGCGTGCGCGCATGCACACACACACACACACACACACACACACACACACACACTAGAATTTTCCTCTGGTAGGTTGTTTCACCAGTAAACTTGATGTCACTGCATTAGGGCTAAATACTGGCTTAAGCTGGCCTGGCTTAGGACTCCTTCAGCAGAGAAGTACCTGACCAATAATTACTAACAGGAGGAGCTGGGTGTTGCCTTACTGGATAAGAGGAGTCGCCCCGAGTTGCTGGAGCTATCTCTATATACTAACCTACCTCATATGACTGACTTCTGTTTCCCTTTCTTTGTATTGACAGTTCCTTTTTCATCTTTATTTGAGACAGCAACTGATCCCATTCTCAAACAACTATAGTGTATCCAACAAAGCACTCAAGCAATGAAACAAATAGACCTTTAGCTAGGGATAAGAGTCCACTATTATAGTTTTTCCTGTGCTAAAGCTCTGAATGGACAGTCACGGCACACATACCTAGAGAGGAAAGGAGGTGTGTGACTTACTGCTACCTTGCTGTCTAAGTAACAACTTCACTAGACTGCAGCCAGGGCCTTTAGGGGGCTTTAGTTGCAGTTTCTCAGGGCTCAGCCTACTGAAGGAACATGGGACATTGGCCATCCTGTGTGTTCCCCAAGACAGCCCCTGAGAGAGTGCAGGCAAGTTAGGGAGCCCTCCTAATGCTGAGTTTCTTATAATCAGCCACTAATCTTGACAGTTCAACTTTACCTAGGTGAATTAGATGAGTCATATAAAATCCTTCCTATGTTTCCCCCTCCCCCAGGTTGTGAATTCAGACATTTGAGCTACAGTAATTTTATTTTCCTAAATCAATGTTAAAAACCCATTTTTATAGGTAGAGACTTAAGAAAAAAAGGGTAGTAACCAATAATAGTTTCCAGGCCTTCTCTGATTAACTGATGAGGCCTCGGCCCAATTAACTAAGGCAAACTAGGGAGTGCGAGCTTGCCTTTCAGAATGCAAAGGCACTTTAAAGAGAAGTGTTCAATGGCACATTTCAGCCTGACCTAAAGATCCTTACAGCAACCGTTATTTTTGGCTGGGGCATGTGCTGTGCTATCTCCCAGGCCGGGGTGGCAGGCTATTCAGGCCCCTTCCTATTTGCATGTCTATCAGGGGTCTTTCACAGCCCAGGGCCCCAACTAGGGCTCCGCAAAGGCCGCATTGTTCTTCAGAACCGCCCCAATCAGGCTCTCAGCCCTCATTGCCAGGGGTGCTCTGAAATACCTGTTGGTCTCCTCGGAATCCAGTTTTGCTTTCACTGCAAGCAGGCCTCCCCGCCACGACTGAGGTTGTTGATGGGAAATGCTCGGGTTTTCCTTTTGATGAAGTCCCTAGCGGCCACCACGACGGGTCTTCCTTTCCTCTCCATCTAAGATTGCGGGAGCGGGAGACTGGATTGCCGCGTGTGTCGGCCACGATATGTGCTTACTTCTTTAAAAGTTTTCTGAGGTTAGGAGCAAGTATATTTACATATTTAGGAATAATATATATGTATATACATATGCATGAATGAAAAGGGGACAATGACTTCATCGTATCTTAATTTAAAAAAAATGAAATTTCAGAAAAGATTTGCCGAAGGTTGCCCCGTTTGTTGTTAATAAGTTAAAAATTAATAAAAGACATATTTGAACCAAAAAGAGAAATTACACCGGCAATATTTTTAAACCAGCATTTCAGATTTGACCATCAAGGAAAAAAATCTTCACGTCCAGAATAATTAATTAAAGAATACTTCAAAAGCTCTGTGGGAGAGAACTTGCCCAGCAAGCACAAGGCCCTGGATTTGAGCCCCTGCAGAACAACAAAAACCTCAGACAAACACAAAGACAAAAAGCAGCCCAACAACTAAACTCAGTCTACTTCAAATGTTTCCTCCACGTTCTGGCAAGCCTGAGTCTGCTAAAGCAAGGGATGGGTAAGAATGAGTCTAAGTCGGTTCTGTGTGTGTGGCATCTTCAAGGCATAGCCCAGGCTGCGTCCTCCCCATCAGGCTACTAAAGAGAAAGGTAGAGAGGCCACACTGGAAATGGGAGGCAGTGACCCACTGATCCTGTCCATCTTCAGGGTCCTGACAGGAGCGTTAGGTTTAAATGGAAGATAAAGTGTGGTCCTGAATGGGAATGTCCAGTTGTTAAGTTTGTCATCTGTCAATCACTAAGGATTCCTCAACCAGGCTAATTATCCTGCTCTTGGGGTGTGAGGGAGAGTTGGAGGGTCAAGGGTGGGAGTGGGGGTGAGGTGGGAGGGGTGGGTCAGGGGTAGGGGTGGGGGTGAGGTGGGAGGGGTAGGTCAGGGTAGGGATGGAGGTGAGGTTGGGTTTGGTGGGGGTGAGGGTGGGATGGGTGGGTCAAGGATGAGGGTGGGGGTAACATGGTAGGTGGGGGTGGGGGAGGATATGGGATGGGTGGGTCAGGGGTAGGGGTGGGGTGAGGTGGGATAGGTGGGTCAAGGATGGGGGTGGGGGTGAGGTGGGAGGGGTGGGTCAGGGTAGGGATGGAGGCGAGGTTGGGTTTGATGGGGGTGAGGGTGGGATGGGTGGGTCAAGGATGAGGGTGGGGGTAACATGGTAGGTGGGGGTGGGGGAGGATATGGGATGGGTGAGTTAGGGGAGGGGTGAGGCGGGATGAAAACATCTCTGTCCATTCGTCCAAAGCACAGCACAAAATGATGGAAGAGATGCCAGGAATTCATCCTGAGTTTACTTATGCTGGGCCAGGAGATAGTCAGTCCTTCTTAGCAACAGTGACTTCTAAGTACCTGTTTCAGTAATGTCTATAATACATCCATTTGTGTTAAGAGAAGCTTTTTCCTTTGCTAGCCGCTTTGGTTATCCCCCGCCAGTCACCTGGGCTCTGCCGCGCCAGCCTGGTTCTAGATCCGCATGAGTCCCAAATAAACACACAGGAGGCTATATTCATTATGAAGCTGTTGGCCTTGCTTGTTTCTTACTGGCTAGCTCTGCCTTAAGTAATTACCCCATAATTGTTAATCTAAGTATGTTTCTTACCGGAGAATAGTTCCCGGCTTCTTACCCCTATGGCGTCACATGTCGACTCTCTTGTCTTTCTCCTTCCCAGAGTTCTCCTGGACTCCTAGTCCCTCCTATCTAGGTTTCCTATAGGCTCAACAGTACTTTATTGACAAATGCACAGGACTTCCCCCAACACATTTGCCCCAAATATTTATGACTGTATCCACATTTATTATGACTTCTTTGCAGTGAACTCAACCTTTATCTTTCATGTTTCTGATTCCTGCTGATCTGAACTTGGGATCTGTATTGAAAATCTAGGAAGCACTGTCCCATAGATGAATCTGCCTCAGCAGGCCTGTACTTATGAAAAAAAGAAAAAAGAAACAAAACAAATCCCAATACAGAATAACAAATCCACCCACCCAACCAACCAAACCTCAATAACTCATTATTGTATAGTCATTTCATGTTGTTATTTTAATTTTTGTGTTTTGAATTATTACTTGTGAGCTAATGATTCCAGGAAAGAAAAGCCATTCATATTTTAAGGGTTCTATAGAGATAAGATACTGATTAGAATTTTATAATTTTGGAGATTTGGAATGTTGCAGATTCAGAGCCAAATTATCTTGGGTTATTGTTAGTTCTTTTAATGGACATTCATGGGCTAACTCTGACTAACCTAACACTTTCAATGGCCAGGTCAATCCTTGGAAATATATTAAGTAAGCAGACCACTATCTCCCACCAACCCAAAGCTAAGAGTATAATTGGATAATAACTGATACCTTTAGCAGAGATTCCCCTGCCTGCCGTATGTAAATCATCTAGCTGATGTTCCCACCAATGTGTTGGGAAAATGCCTTGATTTATGATTTTCTTTTGTTCGGTGAATATAAAGTTCACATATCCATTTCTCTATTGAACACATGTTGTTTGAACCCATGTTCCTGAGCCAGGGTCACTCAGACTTGGATCAGCACCACTACTGTTATTTCTATTGAGAAATAAGCTGTGGTTTTAATGAATAAATTAGTGACTTGTTAACATTAATAACTTACTTAATAACCTAAAACATTTAATGACTAAAAAATAGCTTAGCCAGGTGTGGTGGCACATACCTGAATTCCAGTATGTCAGGAGATTGAGGCAGGAAGATTGCAAGTTCCTGGCCAGCTGGATTAAACAGTGGGATGTTGTCTTAAAACAGCATAGCAACAGCAAAACAGCTACCAAACTGGAAGCCGACAGCAATGAGAATGCAAGGCTTGTGACTCTTGACTTTATCCCTGCCACCCTTGTCCCTCTCTTCTCCATGTCCCTGCCACCTTAGTCCCTCTGTCCTCCATGCCTTCACTACACTTGTCCCTCGGTTCTCCATGTCCCTGCTGCCCTTGTCCTGGTCTTTACTTGGTAGCAGCTGACATTGCTTTATATGATCACATATTAATGTCTGTTGAGTTAGAACAATAATAATAAGCTCATAATTAGCTATAAAACAGGTTACAAAGTTCACATAGGTCGAGTAATGCTGATAAAGCCTCTTTACTTGGATAGGCCTTAGCCTCTAGAAGCTTCTTTTGGCCCCAATTACAGGGGCCTCCTGGTCTTGTACAGTTCAATCTTAGCAAATGAGTAAGACAGAAGCCCCTGTTCTCAGTATCTGAACCCCTTGTTCTCAATATCCAATGGGACTCTTTTTCCTCCCTCCTTTTCCCAGGTGATGGTGTCTGGCACTCTGATTTGTCTTTAGTATGAGCATGAGCAGTACTAATTATGTTCAACTGTTTAGGGAAGTATTCCCAAAAGGTCCATGTGTTAAAAGCTTGGTCTTTAGCCTGTGGGACTCTTGGAGATAGTATAAAATTTAAGAAAGGGATCCTACTAAATGAACTGTCTCATCAAATCCTTCTCCTCAGAAGAGGAGGCAGAGAGAGTGGAAGAGCAGAGGAGTTGGAGGACACCAAGAAAACAAGACCCTCTAAATCAATGAAACGTGATCAGTGCACATGAGCTCACAAGGCTGAGGCAGCATGCACAGGGCCTGGACAGGTCTGCACCAGATGGGGTGCTAGAGCTGAAAGAAGACATGAACTCATACCTCTATCACTAACCAGAAACAATATCTAATTGTTAACAACATGGAGCTGGTGTCTACCTAAGCCCTTCACTCCTACAGACTAGTGTTCATGTTACTTGAAGGCACTCTGTATGCTATCAAAGAAGAAAAGTAAACCAACCCAACTACAAACTTTACAGTCTATAATAGTGACCTGCCTGCAAGATACACTGGAGCAATAGTGGCACATAGCTTGTGGGAGTGACCAACCGCTCTGATTGGATCTAAGACCTTCTCTAAGAGATGGAATCCATCCCTGACTCTGCTTGGGTGGCCAAAGAGCCTGAGACTAAATAGGCCAGCGACCTAGTGAAAACCAAGTATTATTGTTCTGCTATGGAATGTAGCAATAAAAATGACTCCTAATGACATTTTGCTAAATTCATACATTCGTGCCTTGGCTAGAAATCATCAGAGAAACTTCCTCCTGCAGCAGATGTGAACAGATACATAGACCCACAGCCAATGTACAAAGCGTGAGACACCTTGGAACATTCAGTCCTAAATGGGATGTCTCCATCAAACCTTTGGCATTTTTGACAAACTTTCCCAAGTAAAATTCTAAATTAAATCTTTTTAACTTTTAATTACCTTTCCTCATTGGGCCTCTGGAAATCCTCAAAGGATGTTTCCCTGACCCTTAGGAAAGCTCCCTTTCAAACTTCTGGGCTTCTATGTCATGACAAATTAATCACGATGAAGTTCCAGCTCATGCTAACGATGACAGAGCCTCTGCAAGCTGTAGTAATTGGTGTGTAACTGGGAGGATGTTCCAGAATTGTGGCGATATTCCAAAGCTGAGTGCTGTGGGTGATAGTTTTAGTGACTCTGAAGTTTGTCATATAACAGGGGAGTAAGAAAGCTTCCTTCTGGATTCCCATCGTTGCCAAGCCAGTGACCCTAAGTGCTGCGGTTTGCCTTGTCACCCTGTTTGTTGCTTTGTTTTGACGCCTTCGTAGAAGTCTTTCTCTTTTCATACAGCTCTAGTCCCCAAGCCCCGTCTTTGAGGAGACTCAAGAGAAAGATCGCTGGCAAGCACAGGCTCTGGAAATTTTAAAGCATGCCATTGGGCCAGGGAAGAACTCTAGAACTTTAGTCACACCAGTCAGTTCCTTAAAACTCTGTCCCGTGATAATGTAACATGAGAATTAATCAACTGAGCCTGAATGAGCTTACAGCAACAGGGTTTTCATGATTCATTTGGAAACATCGCTGCTTTTTGAGTGTCTGGTTTACCAGATTGAAGGAAACTGTGTACTTTTAAACAATAGCTTACAATAGTTTGGTTGAGTATACTCCTTTGACCCAAAGTTAAATTATGTTCTTTTTTCCCTACTTCACCCCTCTAGAATTTGAAAACTAGTCATGAATGTCCTTGATCTTATGGCAATGTAATTATTCAGATAGGTTAAATAAGAATCATGCGTGATTAAGAACACTGATTTTATCATCGAGGCTTTTATGGGTTGCCATTTAGTCAGATTCAACCAGTCAGCTTTAAAGATGTAAGACTGGCTTTCTGAAACCCACACACTCCCCACCAGCCCCAGAAAATCAGGCTGGAGGGCACTCAGCCTTACACATAATTGAGATATGCCATTTCCTTGCAGGCTCAGGAAACTTGTGTTATTTGGAGAACCTTAAGAAGAAGAAGAGAACTCATCCAGACTCACAGGTTCTGCAGGTGAAACAATTCCTCCTGAACTTCAGTGTTGCCAAGACAAATACCCACCAGATCAAGTGAGCCTTTGGTTTGTCTTTGTAGCTCTGGGAGACGATGTCTGAGACCTCGCAAGGAAAATTTCAGCAGACACAGAAAGAATGTGTATGGCCAGATTTAATGGGATTGAATTTTGTTTTGTGACCAAATATGGTTTCCTATGATAATTTTTGGTCGAAGCAAGGGTGATTTTGGAGAGAAATTAAAATTGACACCCCCACCCTCCACCCCCACCCGCTGAAGTTTTATGAATTGAAACTTGAAAACATCACATAGACTTTAGCGAAGTCATCCCCAAAAATGTATGTTTGAAAGAGCTTGTGAATTCAGGCTACGGAGTAGGAAAAGCCAGATTGTTGCTATCTGCTTTAAGCCCTCCATTGAGAAGCCCTTTCAACTATCTGATTTCTTGACTTAGAAACTGAGTTTATAGTTTGCTCCAACTTTTTCCTTTTTGCAGAGCTGGGAATTTAACCTAGGGTCTTGTCCCCGGCTCCGTTCAAATCATTAATCATTGTTTCCCTTTCATTTTCTTTTTTTTTTCCTTTCGTTTTCATAGAAACTTAACTCCCTTCAGTAAAGGGACATTGGCCCCAGTTATCAAATAGATGCCCTTTGCTTCCAAATCCCAGCTGCACCTTCATGGACAAGGGTGTGGTGGCTTGGAAGTACCCTTGGATAGCATTTCCTCAGCAACACTTGCTAGCTTGGATTAAGAATAGTTTAAATAGTTTGTTCTAGCTGGATCTGGTGCCCTGTGTGTCTAAACTGTGCATTTGTTTAAGAATTTAAGCAAATTCTTAAGCAGATTTGTCTCATTACCCTATGGGTTTGTTTATGGTTCTCAGGATAGTCACTGGAACTGGCTTCAGCAAACCGTCCAGTATTTCTGGATAAACTGTTTGTAGGTAAACAGCTACCGTTGGATAATTACCCAGTTAGCCATGTTTACGAATGTAGATGTACAGATAGCTTATGATGGCTCAAACTGTCTGTGTTTTAAAACTGCACATGGCTGCTGTGGAAGCCTTGCACCACAGTCTGAACAGCTCTGCTTGTGGCTTCTCAGAAGGGGTGAGTTTGGTCTGTGTTGCCTTCAGTTCATCACCTCTGGGATTCTGAGAAGCTGCATACAAAATATTTATCCTGTCAAGTTATCCAAGAGAAATGGCGCACATTCCAAGTTTTGGACATTTTATGATTAAAGATAGAGAAAGCTCAGCGGAGTAGAGTGAAAAGCAGCATAAAGTCATTCAGGCTGGATGGCAAAGTAACACCCCTAGATCCCAGGGACTTCCAAGACAGCAGCTCTCTTGTCCAAGACTGGACCCCATTTCCTCTGCTCCTCCCTTTGCGTTTCCTTCTGGCTAGAAGATCTTCTTGACAGACAGGTTGTGGTTCCTGAACTAACTGCGGCAGTTACTCGGCACTTCTCTGGACTTAACAGGACATTTGATCATGGAAAGGAATCCGGGACTATCTAAATATGTTCCTGAGAAGAGAACTCAGTGTAGCTGCAAGGGTTTCTGGGGAAATGTTTTCAAACTGTGCTGGGCTAGAGGGATTAGACAGCCGGGTGACCGTGCCTACCCAGCACTAACAGCCTAGGGTCACTCTGCCCCTTCCTTTGGGGAGTGACCAGAAGAGAGAGCAATGGGCACTGCCCCTGTCCTTCCCAAGGAGCAAACAGTGGAGGTTACTAGAGGTGAAAGGCTAAACACCGATGCCAATAAAATGGAGAGAATGTGGGGGTAGGAAAGTACAGAGGCTGTGGAGAGATGTGGGGAGTGAGAGCCCTCATACTGGTTCCAGTGTGAGAGAACACAGTGGCTGCTGTCCCCATGGTGTGATCAGACTCTCTGCCTCCTTCAGCTTCCAGGCTGCCGTTTATCCCGACTCCACAGCATCACACGAGGTGCCTCACAGGCACTGATCTCTAACAGAGCCCATCCTGACTTGTGTTGCTTCCCCTCAAAAGCTTAGCTCTTGGAATTGCTTTCAGTATTGGGGTACTATTTGCTCCTAGCACCCTAATGTTGCTGGTTCTCCTATTCTAATAGCATATCATTTTATTTTCCTATACTCAGAATAGGCCTGAATTTTGGGAGATACTCTGAGTCAGACAGGATAAAATCTGAAAAGCATGAAGAGGGAAGGGGTGACTCGCTGAAAACGAACCACCTAGAGACATGTAGGAAGGGACACACGGGACCTTTATGCATTGCTCACATTTTTCCTCCCTGAAAACATCCCCAATTTAACTAATTGTTTCTACATTTGGAGGTAGGTGTGTAGCTGCTCAGAATGGGTAGTCATTTCGTGGAGTCAAGTTAACGTCTAGAACATTTGTTTAAAGTGAGGCCTCCCCATAACTACATAACCCTCAGGGAAGCGGCTCAACTCATTTTAGGGAAGAAAGCCAGCTCCTTCCTGGGCTGTATCCATGCCGGGTGATTGGCTTCCTTGTTGGAGAATCCTACTCTCCCCCCACCAGGTGGAGAAAGTATACCCTGTTCTGGAGGGCAAGAAGTTGGGGAGGCCTTTTGGGGATACAAGCCAGAGTTGAGTCTGGTGGATGTCTGCATA